AAAAAAAAAAAAAACGTTTTCTATTTCGCGGATTTCACTTATCGCGGGTCATTTTCGGAACGTAACCCCCGCGATAAACGAGGGATTACTGTAATACTAATGATGATGGTAGAAGTTATGACGGCAACAGAGCAGGAACACTGGGGCAGCAGGAAACTCCCAACCACAGATCCAGACTCCACAGCTCCAGAGCCAGGAATATCTGCAGAAAGTGTTAGGAAGAAAGAGGAGAGAGAAGGGGGACGAGAAAGCACACGACTACGGGGAAAGGAGAGAGTCCAGTTAGTAACATTGTTAATGGAATGAGGTTGCACCGGGAGGGAGAGAGAGAAAGGAAAGGGGAGCTCAGAGACATCTTCAGAGGTGCAACTGATGCAGCCTCTGTTGTAACTTGGTCCTCACAGGCACCCGTCCTTTGTCTATACCGCCCATTCCCAGTATCGGGGAGGGTAGATGGTTTCAAACTTTAGAGTTCAATGCATTTCAACCAACACAATCCCATTTTCTTTTACACATTTCTAGTTCCACATCAGTTTAGTTCTGAGAGGAACTGCCATGAAAAACCATTGTGTTTTTCAAAACTTCACATTTAAAGAAGTGATGCAGGAAAATGAACAAATGAGAATCATGTCAGAGCTGTGGAATAGCTTCAGAAAACCATCAGCAGCAGCTCTAGTCAGTTTTGTCTCCCCGGTAAAAGCCTAGCTGGAGAAGAATGCCTGCTGACCTTTTTCAAAATGGCATTCCTATAACCTGGTAATAATGCTTTTTTCTGTGTGTGTTTGTGCTTGTTAGTGAAGTATAGAGAAAAAAAACAGCTTTCACTGTCAAAATCCCTACACAGGATGTTCTTTAATCATAATTACATCGATTCTGGCTGTTGATCCTCATATAATTTGCCTTTGTTTTGTTTGTTTTTTCGTTAGTTTGACTGTAAACTGTCCAGAGGACAGGAATAAGTACAGAAAATGGAGGCATAGATAGACATTTCAAATCTTTGAATACATTTCAAATCTTTGAATAAGATATTAAATTGAGTCCATGCATTTGAATCTAAAACAAAGGAAGAAAAACATTGTTGGCCTCCTTTGTAGATTGTGTTTATTAAAAGAAAAGAAAACTCAGAATACATTTGCACACACAGATGCCGGGTGATTATTCAGGAGCTAATTGAATATCTGTCTTTGCACAGCGTGGCTTTCTCCTGCTTGGAGATGTTGGCATTCGCCCCCTCTTGACAAACATAGCAGATCCTTGATAAAAATGCGCTGAACGTCCTCTTTAGATGCACTTCAGGATCTTCTCCCGGCCCCGATATTTCATCAGTTTGCTCACTGACCTTTGCAGCAGTCGTGGTTACATCACATTATTATTTTCGGAATAATCTTTCTTAGTTGTTTCACAAGAAAAACCAACTCTAGCCCTAAACAATGAAACGAGCATAGAGTCTGACTTGTGGCTCTTTTATTGGATATCAGTCTTTTTTTTAATCAAATATCAGATTCTTATTGATTATATGAACTAAGAAATGAAAGCAGTGACAAAATCATTTGTCAGACAAGAAGTAATAACCCAGCAGTGGCTGGACACCAACAGGGAGGAATAGGAAAATCCAAAGAGATCGCAGTTGTAGCGGAACAAGTGTTTGTTTGTTGACCGTCCAGCTCTCAGGCCTGAGCGGCGTTTTAGTGAGGAGGCATCTGATGGACCCTCTGTCTGACAGCAGCCGCCCAGACACCGTCCACTTTCCCTGCTCGTCCCTTTGCTTCCCAAACAAGAGGGTCACAAGAGCCACTCGGACACCACCAGAATCAGATAGAATATGAAACTCTATGTGTGACAAATGATTACCAGTTCAGTTTCAGTTACTTGAATTGATGCGATGCTAGTTCACAACATTTTCACAAGGCACTTTAAAGGGGAAGTAACCAAGAGGAGGTATAAATCCAACTATGATCACTCAATTTCAATCCAAAATTAATCCAATATATCCAAATCCATTGAATTTTTATTCATGTAATACCCATTTGTCAGCCATTGTTCCATTAAGGTGGAAATGGATTACACTGAAAAATCACTATAACTCAGACACATAGACAAAAAAACAGAATCACTTTTGGTGTAAAACAGCATTCCATTCATCAAATGTTACTGGTGTTATATTGTTATATCCTATTAAACCATTAATATTCCACTAAGTTGCACTTGTTTATACATTTTCTTTATCCATCATAAAGAAGACTTGAAGTTTTAAAAGCGGTCAGGGAGCCGGGCAAATAAAAAAGTACGTAACCGAAACCCTGCAGGTAAAAACAGTAAAATGTGGTTTCGGCCATCCTGCCTGTGTGAGGAAAGCGTCAGTCTGCCGGTAAGCAGGGGAATGAGCTGAATGGCCCCCTCATCTTTGGGCCAAACGCTGTGGCT